GATGTCCCTCGCCCCAAAGCCCCATGTGCTCATAGATGGGGCTTTTTGGAAGTGGCTGGATCTAGGCTATGTGAATATGGGTTAAGGGTGTGAGATTGGATTAGTGCACTGGTTGGTTTAGCATTGTTCTGGGTGTGGGAAATGGGATGTCCAACCCCGGGTGTGGGTGGCACTAGCCAGTAGGTTTTCTGCCTGTGTGGAACCCAAAGGGAAGGATGGAAAGCTTGCTGGCTGCTTCCTGCCTGCACATCATGGAGTGTTTTTCTTCTGACATGCTCCTGTGCCATGCTGCCCTGCCTTGGAGTCAGCTGACTGTGGACTGAAACCTCTACAAACTGTGGAGTAAAATAATCCTTTCTTCCTTTTACTTGTGGGTGTTGGGTATTATTCCTCAGCAATGAGGAAGTAGCTGAGATACTAGGTGTACACGCAGTTGCTTACCTTGGTCAAGAGTACTTAAAATCCATAGACAGTCAGACATATAGCAGATTGGCAAGATTTTTTTAAAAAATGAAAAGTAATTTAACCTGAACATCAAAGAATGAAATGGAGGTACAGAAGAGAAGGAAATGAAGTGTGGCCATCCGTGGTCAAGTTCTGTCCCAAGTACTCTTGCTGCAGTTTAAGTCCGCTGACATATTTGGTAGAACAATGCTACAGCATTCCCCATAAACTCCTGGGAATGTGGACTTCAGAAATAAATCCAGTGAAACCTGTGAAGTTGTTTTGCAAATCTCAGGATGACTTGGATGCCCAGGAGAAATATAAGAAAGGAAATCTGCCCCACTTGACTACATTATGGATGCAGCTGGCATTGCCATGAGCATGCCACTTCCACTTTCCTGAGTATTGGGGACATGGAAAGATGGTAGGAAGTGAATCCACTTGATATTTGTGACATAGTAGTGATTCCAGAGAACAGCAATGGACATGCATCCACTAGCAGCAGTGACTAGACCCCATGCAAAGATGAATGGGATGTGGATGACATTCTTCTGTAGGATACCCACATGTGAGTTCCTGAGTGCTAAAATAGTGAAGGCTTTGGCAAAGAGCCCTAGAGTGCTGGTGACCACCAGGAAGTGCTGAGCTGTGCTTATACTGGGAGCGAGGAATGTATCACTGTAGGTGTGTGGGTGACACATTCTGACTTTGCTGCAGTTGTGATGGTGGTAAATGTGGACTTTTCATACTCCCACACAGATGGTGCCAGCGTAGGAGAGCCACAGGTCATCCATGTGCCACATGTGCCACTCCAGAGGCCCATGGAAGTGCTGCAGAGGATCCATGTGATGGTGGCAACAGATCAGCCTGGGACCTGGCAATCGGCAGTATGGACAAGAAAGGTCATGGTGGCTGCACACACAGGACAACTGCAGACAGACACAGAGCATCCTGAGAGCAGGATTCTTGGGCCTGGGACACCTGCAGGGGGAGAAGTACCAGCAGGGAAGTGCTGCATTCAAAAGAAGAGGCTTTAGCCTCTGGATCGGCTCCAGTGTGCAGCATCTGCAACCTTTGGGAAGGGCCATGGGCAATTTTTACACAATGATTTCAAAGGTGTGAACCTTCCATCTGTCCAAGTCTGACTGTTGGTCTGGAGACATAATTATGTTTGGCCCCAAATATTAGCCACAAAATGGTCATCACAGCACTGCTGGTAATATTGAAAGTGGAAAAACCACTCCAGATCTGACAATTGGTTAAGCAATTTATGCTTTGTCTATACAATATAGCTATATGCTGACATTAGAAAGAGAAGTGGAATCACACGAAGTGGAATATATGGGGCTCGGCTCTTTGCACTTAGTAGAGTGTATTTAAGGTTCACTGTGCTGTAGCGTGTGTGAGAAGTGTATCCTTTTCCATTATGTGAATATGAATGTGCCACTGTGTACCTAGTGGCTTCTCCATCTTATGCATTTGCATGGCATCCATGCTTTACCTACTATGAACACTGCCCTATGAATATGCACATGTAAAACTCTGTGTGGGCATGCACTCTCATTCTTTTTGCTAGGTACCTGGAAACAGAATCAGCAGGTCATATGGTAAGTGTATATTTAACTTTCTGGGAACTACAAAACTATTTTCCCAGGTGGTGGCACAAATTTACATTCCCACCAACAGTGTATTAGAAAGCCAGTTTCTTCACATCCCCCACATTTGGTATTTTCAGTCACTGTGCTTTTAATACAGGTGTTATAGTTTCAACTAGCTGTGTGACCCAAAAGATGGTCACAATATACTCTGTTCCAAGAGTATGTTACAAAAGAGTCTCTATAATACATTCATGGATGAGAATTACACTGGAACTGTATATGCTAAGTTATAGAAAGAACTTTTTAAAACTGGGTTTGGGGGATTTTGATGACTTTCAAGGCATGTGAAGTATCAGATACATATAAAGAACCCCACAAAATCTAAGTGCACTACTCAATAAACTGTCACAGGGCAAACACCCATGTAGCTGGCACTCCTTGCTGTCTTTACTGTTGTCTCACCTCAGCATGCCTCCCCAAAATTGTAAAATAATTTTGCCTGTTTTTCAAAATGGGAACAACCCACCAGGCATTTTTGTGTGATTGTCTTCTTCATTCCACTTTGCACTGACATACTCAGATGATGGTGATTTAAATTAGTGCCTACTTGTTCTACAGAATTCTGGGTTTCATTTGGGGCTTTTCATACATGCATATAACATACATTGGTCATTCTCACCTCCCCATTACGTCCCTTTCTCTTCCTGCTCAATCTCCTACTCTTTGTAATCAATTGCAGTGGAGAAATCCCAGAAATAGGATTAAAGTACCTGGACCACAATCCTCCCAGGGATGTACTGGACAATAGGAAGAAGGAAAATCTGGAGGCCTTAATATGCAAATCCAGATGGGTTCTTATATAAAGTTCCTAACTTCATGCTATACCACATTCTTCAGCATGAAGTCCATGTGTATATTAGTAATGCGTGAAGGAAGGCTAGGAGGTCAGTGCCTCAGGGTGGGCAGAGACAAAGACACTCCAAGCCAGGCACTATTTATTGGGTGGATACATTGCTAGGAGGGACTAACAAGATTCAAGGTTGGTGGAAGATTCAGAGGTCTATGACTCAGTGGGCAAATGTCATTCCCGTAAAGAGTTGTATCTTCAAGCTTATTATGGTGTATATGGAGAATTCCCCCCAAAGGCCTCATGTGCTCCCATTTGGAGACTTCTGGAAGGCGATTGGATCCTGGGGGCCCCGACATGGAGTTGTTTGTACATCCACTCATCAGTCCAGTCACCTACTGCTGAGTTTGGCAGTTGAGAGTGCTATTGGAAACTGGGGCCTGACAGAAGATGAGGGTCGTTGTAGAAGGGAATATCTCCCCCCACATCTCCTTTGTCCTCTCTCTGTTTCCCAGCCACCATGGCATAGGCAGCTTTCCACCACCATTCCTTTGCCTCATGCTCTTTCTGCTTGGAGCCTGCTGACCATGGACTGAAACCGTGATCCTAAAAAATCTCTCTTCTTCTAGGTGGCAGGTTTTGAGTACTGTGATTCAGTTTTTTAAAAAAATAAGAGAACACTTTTCTATAAATTGCAATCTTTCACCATGAAGAGATGTCTCATAAATAGAACCTGTGGTCTCTGTGAAGAAACTGTATTTATGGGCTTTATGTTTAGGTACTCCTTATATATGTGTCCTTGCCATGTACCACAGAGAACTGGTCAGTTCAACACAAATGTGACTTCCTTGAAACCAGCTACCTGCATAGTGAGTATACTATAACTCTCGGTTAAGAACAGATCTGAGGGCATTGACATTTTCTTTGCTCAAAACAGTCTTTAAATGAAGCACGGTTGGCTTAGTTACTTTTCTTGTTGCTGAGTCAAAATACCTGACACCCAAAGTTAAAGAAGGAAGGGTTTATTGTAGCTCAGAATTTGTAGAGGTTCCAGTACATAGTTTGTTGGCACCAAAGCAGAGTGGCACACCAAAGGGGCATTGCAGATGAGAAATAGTTCATGGTGGAGGGAGAGGCAGCAATGCAGTGAATTAGCTAAGAAGCAGTAAGTGATGGAAGCAGCCTTCTTTGCTCCCCTTATATTCTATCCAAGGTACGTGCCCTTAGAGCAAGTTGCGCTCTCACCCAGGGTGAGTCTTCCTATTATCCACTCCTAGAACTCTGCCGAACCAATCAGTGGACTAACTTAGCAGTCACACACCCCTGTTCAGAGCATGACACATTTAATCCCAGCATCACACACTCTAGGTCCAGCCACCTCTGAAAAGTCCCATCTACGACTGCATGACGCTTTGGCAGGACATCTAGACATAAACCATAATAATGGATTTCCTATTTTTTAATGAACCTTTGTTGATTGCACAGATTACACTTGCTGCATGGCTATTACATGCCAGCTAATAATGATGGCCCCTCTGGGTGTTGAAGGTAAATGGGGGAAAATTGTCCATACAAAGATTAGAACTGCAGTGCTGATGCCATAGCTGGGTGCACGGAGATGGCTGCAGGAGCCCTGAGGTAGAGGCCATGGGTGCAAGTGGTCTTGGAGTGCGATTCACTCTGTGTGGCTTTTACAAAGCTGACCTCTAGTACATTTTGTCAAGAAATAACCCCTTTTGGAAAAGCCATCATTTAACAGAGCCATGAGTATATCCACTGGACTTTCCTTTTCTGAGAGTTAAAACCACATCACACAGGTAAAAATTTTTCCACCCAACTTGCACAATTTGTGAAAATTGATTCTGCTTCTCACTTGAGCTATTTAGAACCCACAGAATGATGAGGCAGCCACCACCTGCTTAGATCATTTGCTGCCATCCCTGGGTTGCTCATTTCTTCAGCAAGTACATTTGAACTTCACTCCATGAATGCTTACAGAACAGACCGCCGCTCCCTTCCTGGAGTCCTTTCCTGTTTTTGTCAGGTCTTTCTTCTGCAATAAGAGTCCCCCAAGGTCCCTGAGATTGGAAGGCATTGGCTCCTGTTCAGCCACTGGATGTTATTCCAGTACTTCAAGGCAGTAAGAGATTGTGTTGTAGACCTATCAGGGCCTTGGACATAAGAATTTGGAAATCCATTCACCTTCAGAGCCCAGACCACAGATACTGTGTTCCTGACAAATGAGATTCTAGCTGTTACAGGACACCCTTGCACCAAACTCCAACACGGGGCCTGAGATCCCCTGTAACCCCCAAAGCATGACCTTTCCTTGTCTGGGAAACAGACAGGCTTCAAACAGAAAGGACTCAACAGCCCTTTGAAGAAGTAAGTTTCGAATTATGCTTTCTTAAAGTATACTCAGTCTAAGCATTTTGTGTAGGAAATTTCCCCTTCCAAAGCCTGTGTGCAGGCTGCAGTTCAGCAGCAGAGCTCTTGCCCAGCATGTGCAAGGCCATGGGTCCCATTACCAGCACCACCCCCCAAAAGGAAGTTTGCTTGCATTATGGGAGCGTGAAGTGAATAAGTGATTCATTTCTACTTCATATAATACATTTCTATACAACACCGAGGGAATAATTATACAAAAATTAATATATAATATTAATGTATTCATATTGAACACATATGAAAAAATCTTTAGAGTTATACATATGTTTCTGTAAAGTACTGGGAAACTATCAGAATCCTCAGAAAAGTGTTAAAATAAATTTTTTTTTTTTTTTTTTCCAGGAGTCAAACTCAGGACCTTGCGCTTGCCAGGCAGGCGTTTATGCCACTGAGCTATATCCCTGGCCCTAATAAAACTTATTAGAGTTTATCATAGGTCCTGAAATTTTATTATGAGTAAAATTATACACAGCTAGAAACTTCCTGTCTTATGCTCATTTCCTACATCTCTCAAATACTGCACAGTTCATTGGAGGCCAATACTCTCATCCCCACATTAGCTCAAGGAAGCCTGTCCTTGCAGAAGATTAGGGGCAGGGACTCAGAGCCTTGAACAAACTTGCCCTAGAGTGGAGGGTGAGCAACAATGTCCTATGGGGTCTAGGGGACCATTAGTGCTAGCAGAGGATAACAGAAATCTTCCATCCTCATTTCTTTTGTACTACACTTTGGATTTATCAAGTGTCCTCTCATCATACAAATGATGCTGTGCAACCAGAAATGCTAAACCAACCAGTGTACTAAACCA